CAGGGTTTCTCTGTGTAGCCCTGGCTGTCCTGGAACTCACTCTGTAGACTGGGCTGGCCTTGAACTTACAGAGATCCACCTGCCTCTGCCTCCCAAGTGCTGGGATTAAAGGCATGCATCACCACCTGGTCTCTCCCACTTCTTAACACATACTTAGTGAGACCAAATTTTTCTTCATATACTTAAATTTAAAATCTGTGTGTGTGTGTGTGTGTGTGTGTGTGTGTGTGTGTGTGTGTGTACCATGTGTATGGAGCCCTATGGAGGCCAGAAGAGGGCGTCAGATCCCTTGCAGCTGGAGTTATAGGCACTTGTGAGCTGTCACATACGGATTCTAGGAAGTGAACTAAGGTCTTTCCTTTTCAAGAGCAGCGAGTGCTCCTAACCACTGGGCCATCTGTCCAGTCTCTTTTTCATACACTTTAGTCAAACAACATAACACATCAGACTGAATGAAGAAATGTATCTCCTTCAAGGGAGTATTAACAAAAATAAAATAGCAGCATTTTTCTCAGTAAGTTGTTTTGGAATTATTTTTCCCTTAAGATAAATGTGATTTGTGTTAACATACAGTAATTTACTATTGTTCCTTTAAAATAAATATTTCTCTCAGTTTTAATTCTCTATGAGGTTTTTTTTTTTTTTTTTTTTTTTTGAGTACGGTCTTACTACGCATCGGCCTCTTTCTGGAACTGCTATGTAGCCAGGTGAACTACCAGCTCCTGATTCTCCTGCTTTAGCCTGCATGTGCTACCATGTCCACCCCCACCACACACATAACCTACATAAACAAGGCTTTGTGGTATGTAAAGGACTTTGGAGATCAAAAGACTTGAAAACTGCTACTATAGACAAATATCTCACAGTTTAATTGGACAGAAATGTCAACTGAAACATCAAAGGAAAAGGAAAGGTTATACTTTCTCATGAACATATAATCTTTTTTTTTTTGTTTTGTTTTGTTTTGTTTTGTTTTTTGTTTTGTTTTGTTTTGTTTTCGAGACAGGGTTTCTCTGTGTAGCTTTGCGCCTTTCCTGGAGCTCACTTGGTAGCCCACAGGCTGGCCTCGAACTCACAGAGATCCGCCTGCCTCTGCCTCCCAAGTGCTGGGATTAAAGGTGTGCGCCACCACACCCGGCTCATGAACATATAATCTTAAGGAACAAGAAGGACCAAGAGCCGCACACGCACACACACATTTGCTCTGGGGGGAATGCATTTCATGTAGCCTAGCCTCTAATTTGCTATGTAGCATTGAGCTCCTGATCCTCTTGCCTCTGCCTCCCAAGTGCTGGGACTAATGGTGTGCGCCACCACCACCCGGCCTCTCAAAAATCTTTGTTTATTGATTTCGCACAAGGAAGCTATGAAGAAGCTTATTTATTAAATATTATTTATTAATATTTATTCACATGACAATATAAAAGAACAGTAAATGATCTCATAATCAGGTCTTAAAAAATATTTATTTATCTTTTATGTGCATGTGCGTGTGTATGTGTGTATGTGTGTATGTATATGCACCATTTGCATGCAAGAGTTCACGGAGACCAGTAGAGGGTGTTGGGTCTCCTGGAGCTGCAGTTATCGAGTTATAGACAGTTGCTAGTTGCCAATGTAAGTATCACCCACCTCTCCAGCTCCACAATCAAGTCTTTGAACGCCCCCCCCCTTTTTTTTTCAGAGCGTTTAATTTATTTATTTAGGTTTTTCATGACAGAGTTTCTCTTTGAACAGTCTTGGCCTTGAACTCACAGAGATCCACCTGCCTCTGCCTCCTGAGTGTTGGGATTAGTTTTATTATTATTTTTATTTCTTTTCTTTCTTTGGTTTTTCGAGACAGGGTTTCCTTGTGTCTGAACCCCTCTTAAAACAAGGAGATCATGTAGTATTTCCTCACCCATTAAGAGGGAGAACAGAAGCAAAGGAAGACAGTAAGTAGGTCTCAGCAGCCATTTCCAAGCCTACAGGCTGAACAAACATAGAAACATAAGCCATGTGATTGGACAGGCCAGTGTTTCAGTCAGCCTTCAGTAGAATCTTAATTTTTATCAACTAAAGATTGGTAACTATACCTATTACTTTAGTGTTCTTGGGCAGAGTTTAGACACAGCTGAAAACAGACTCAGTCCTCATTTTGTTAGGTTTCAGAGTAATTTTTCACTATCTGCCACCACACTGAATTTGAAAATGTGGAACAACTCACCTGTAAGTCATATGGCTTTCCAGCCCTCACTAAAAAACTCAGCAATATACTGGTGTGTGCAAAATGAACGTTCTCATCCAAGAACCCGTGTAAGAGTAGTAAGCGATTTGGTCTGGAGGAATACAAATATTAAAAGATCAGGCAAGACAGAAGAAGAGCATTAGGGCTGACCACTTGGTTCCTTTAAACTAACCACAGTTAACGTTACTGTACTGTTAGGATGAGGACTCATTTTTTTCAATATTAAATCTGTAATACAGTTTAACCAGATGCCACATGTACTGAAGAATGAACAGAAAAGCATGTTCAGCTCCTTACTGCATGTTCCTAGAACACGTTTGTGAAAACACTGTCGCTGACAGACTTCCTTCCACTTTCACACGATTATGGACTTAATTTCTTTCAGTGTAAGCAACCACTTCAAATATTATTTATAAAGATAAATAAATAATCACAAATACATATTAAAAACCTAATCCTAATCCCAATCAGTATCTAAACTTTAATTTGCCTCCGAGTGACACCCTTCTGCTCTAGCGGTTTAGCAGCTAATGGTGGAACACTACGTGTCTACGCAATGGTTTGCGCTCAATCCCCAGTACTGAGGAAGCAGAAAAAGGAACTTTTTAGTATTTATAAAACATTAGCTTTAGTTTTAATTTTCAGTAGTTTTTATCATCATTCTTAAAGTTTTTAAAACACTATTTAAAATTGAGAGCCTTCATTTTCAGGTATGAACTTACTCTGAGGGGAACTTCTCCGCTTGCATGGCCACAGATCCTAAGTAATAGCCCTGTTCATTCTGGTCAGGGTGACCCATGTAACGTTCTGTGTATCCTGTATCATAGAAGATCCACAGAGTGACTGGGGCCCCAGCAATAGCAACCTGCATATGACAATATGGACAGTCAGCTGTGTCCCAGAAAAGAGTGCAAGCAGAGAGAACGTGCAACGGCAAACGGATAAGCTAAAATTATCCTTGCAAGGTTTCAGTCCCTGCTACTGGGCACACATCTCAGGACATGCGGAAACCTGAAATCAGGTGCCAAGGTCATAAATCTGATACCCTGTGAGTCAATCAGCTTCATGTCTCACAGCACAACCAGCATCAACCTCTAAACCTGGGACAGCTGAAATACAAACTGTGAGTCTCTTTTATTCAAAGCAGATCTGAAGGAGTCTGTGACCACCCCCCCACCCCCGCCACTGGGAAACAGGTGTGACAACTGCCAACTTCATATAAAAGCACCCACTGTTCACACTTGTAGCTTTCTTTTTTCTTTCTTTTTCTTTCGCAATACAGAATTTAAAACAACAATTGGACTATACTTAAGTAAAACTTGCCACATTTAAGGCTCCCATGTAGTTTTATATTCAGATATTCTAATTAACTTTTTTTGTTTTAAAGATAGTGTTTTCTTATGTAGCCCAGGCTGGCCTCAAGCTGGCAATCCTTCTGTTTCTCTGTCCCAGGTCCCAGGACTACAGGTGTGTATGACTATGCTTGACTATTTTGTTCCTAAAGATTACTTCTCATCATAAACAGGGCACAGTGGTGCACGCCTGTAATCCCAGCACTCAGAAGGGAGAGGCAAGAGGGTCAGAAGTTCAAGATCTTCTTCAGCTTGTTTCTAAACAACCCCCCCAAACAAAAGATAAACTTCTCATTGTAAAATAAAATCTTGTTACAGACATAAAAATCACTGCTCTTTAGCAGGGCATGGTGTACACCTTTAGTCCCAGGACTGGGGAGGCAGAAGAGGGTGGATCTCTGTGAGTGTGAGGCCAGCCTGGTCTACAGAGTTCCAGGACAGTCAGGGTTGTTACACAGAGAAACCTTGTCTTAAAAAAAAAAAAAAAACCAAACCAAAAAAAAAAAAAAAAAGTACTGCTGCTCTTTATTCACATCTTTGCTAACTTTTTTTTCCTTGCTTACACTTAGCTGCCTGTGTGTACGGTCACTCATCTGAGGTCAGAGTTTCTTCTTCCGCTGGGTGGGGGCACTGAACTCAGTCCATCAGGGTTGGCGGGTACTTCACCTGCTGAGCCACCTCATGAGACCCTTTCTTCCTTTTCTAACATTAAATAAATGACATTTTCCTTTATCTTGTGTGCACAAGCATGTGTGAATTTGTGTGGGTGCACATGCGCCATGGCATGGCTGTAGAGTCAGAGGACAACTTTTACGAGGTCCTCTCCTTCCACCATTTGAGTCCTGGGATTCAAACTCAGTTTTGGCAGCAGCCTTACCTGCAGAGACATTTCATCTATCCATTCATCCCTATTTTCTTAATGACTATCATCTTTATATATTTTCTTTAGTATAATGTTCTAAGAATTTGAAGAATTATAAGCATGTAAATATTCAGTTCGCTCAGTGAGCTGGGTCTGTAGCTTGGTGGTAGAGCATGTGCTTCAGCATACAAGAGGTCCTAGGTTCAAACTTCATTATTACAAAAAAAAAAAAAAAGAAATTAAAAAAAATCAGTTCAGTCAACGTGATTTCTTTTAAGTGCTGAAGACCCAGCCCAGGCCCTGTACTGGACACAGATCTATTGAGGACTCACATGTTAAGCACTGCAGCTGTTGAGGATACACCAGGGCCTAGGGCAAAGGTGTAGTTCAGTAATTAAACAAGTAACTATAATCCAGGAAGGATATGTGTGGGGTTTTTGGTGTTTTTTTGTTTTGTTTTGTTCTTTTTGGTTTTTCGAGACAGGGTTTCTCTGTGTAGTTTTGGTGCCTGCCCTGGATCTTGCTCTGTAGACCAGGCTGGCCTTGAACTCACAGAGCTCCGCCTGGCTCTGCCTCCTGAGTGAGGTAGATTAAAGGCGTGTGCCACCCCCCCCCACCCCCCACTTATGTGTGTTTTACTAATCATAACTATCCATCTTTGGCATATATAAGCAGTTATAAACTGGTGACCAACCTGACAAGGGTTTTAAGAGCTATGTTAAAGCTAGAGATACAGTTCCCATGTGTAAAACACATAAGCATTCTACATATTGACGATACCTGGTCCGTCAGAAAATCATCTCTATCTTCAATTAACAGAGAATTCTGCCCAATGACAAAAACAAATAGAAGAGTAGCCACATACCCTGAAGATATCCGATCTCTGCATTAATGCCATCAGGGAGAGGTAGCCTCCATAGGACCATCCGTGGATGCCCACACGATCCAAGTCAATGAAGTCATACTGAGACGCCAGGTACTGGAGGCCCTCCACTTGGTCATCAATTTCTATTTGACCCTGTCAAAAATGGGGGCATAGCTCACTGGTTCTGACCAATACTAGTCTTAGAGACTTCTTTTAAAGCTGCTTCATGTTTTCACTAAGAATTCCTGGAAGGTTTCTTTTTTCAGATTAGAGTTGGTTAACAACTGATATTCTATTTTCCCTCAAGAAATTAAAAAAGAAAAACAAAACGATTTAGAGGCTAAGGGCCTGCTGCTTCTGCCGCTACCTTGTCGGGAGTTTAGTTTCGTTCGACACGGTCTTCAAGTCCTTTCCTGTCAGTGCCCATGCTGTCCCTGGCTGCAGGGTGTCTCCATGTGTTCTGTCGTCTGCTAAGAGGCCAGCAACTTCCTTGTAACAAGCCTTCCTCTATCCAAAGATAAAAATCCAGCCCCTCTAAGAGATCGATTAATTTTACCTCTCCTTTTAGCACATAGTGCAGTAAAGCAAAGGGCATTCATTACCCCTGAGGCCCAAACTTCTTTCTCCCAGCATGACACTTCTAGAAAGCTTTGGATGTCCTAACTCCTACCAGTACCACCCGAGGTATCACTGGGCCTGCCAGTGCACACAGTCTCACTTCACTGAGCCAAACCAAAAAATAAAGCAACAAAAAAAACTTACATGAGAATACAACATAAGGTCAAAGAACTGGCTGTGGGAGACCATCCCATGTCTTACTCAGCATGTCCAACACACTGGCAGCCACAGGGACTGCCTTATTGTGCAAAAGGAACATCGGACTGTCATCATTTCCCAAAGCAGCAGAAAGGACCTGGGGCATCTCTAAAAGGTAGCAATTAAAGCTTCCTGCAGAGAGAAAGAGGCTTGTCACAAGGAAGGAACTACCCAGTCGGTTTCCCTCTTCACAGAGGACAGAACCAATCTTAGTGATTCCTCAGTAGCATGTGGGACTCTGGCAACTAAACGAGGCTGCCTTGGGGCTGAGGAGAGAGTACTAACTGGAAAGGGCACACTTCTGCAGAAGTGGCTGTACCTCAGCTCCTGGGAGGTATGTACAGGTCCACAGGAGCGAGCCTAATATAAACCAAACTACGATTCTTCCCGCTGCTCCGTTCTAACACATTCTCTCTCACTGTCACTCAGAGCCTCCCCCAACTTGAATAAAGTGTAAGAAAATGAAAACGTCCGGAAAAGAGAATGTTCTCTGCTCACCCACCATTTTATATTTAAAGGCGCCTTCAAATTTCAGCCCTCGGTGACAGGATCCCCTGTTGTCTATCACCACAACCACGTATCCCAGGGAAGCCAGGGTGTTCAGGCGGAAATACTTGACTCCTTTAAAGCGATTGTTCACCAGCTGCACCTGGAAAAGAAACACAGCTTCAGCGACATTACATGGCAGCATATAAACCATGAGATGGAAAGACACTGCAAAAGCCAGAAAGCTGAATGTACTTACTACTATTCTGCCTTTAAAAGGTAAGTGTCAAGAGAGACATCTTTACGTTTACTCAAGTCTCTGCGTGTTTACGCTGCCCACGCTTACTGTCTCTCTCAAGCCTTCACAGAAACTCCACACCTGCAGGCTTCATTCTAGCTCAGACACTTCAGATTGCCCCACCGAGAAAGCTGCTGTACCACCACTGCCTGGCCAGATGTAGCATTTTAATGAACACTGTCATCAGCCCAGTTACCTTTTTCCTGTTAGACAAATTAGTGTGAAAGTATCATAATTTTTAAATTACTTTATCACCCTAGAGACTACACTTCAAAGTGACCATCTTGGTAGTTGTGGTGATATATTGTGTACCCTAATAAAATTTGCCTGAAGATCAGAGAACAGAACAAGCCACTAGATTAAACAAAGACCTTTAATCCTAGCACTCGGGAGGCAGAGATCCATCTGGATCTCTGTGAGTTCAAAGTCACCCTGGACTACAGGAGACTGATTTAGTCTAGGAGAGAAACAGAGCCAGGTAGTGGTGGCACACACCTTTAATCCCAGCACTTGGGAAGCACACACACCTTTTTAATGGCTGGGCGGAGAAAGGTATATAAGGCGTGAAGAGACAGGAACTGAAGCCTTTTCAGCTGAGGAGGCTCATTCGGCTAGAGGCCTATCAGCTGAGGCTTTTTCAGGCTGAGAAGTCCTAGAGGTAAGAGGTGGCTTGTTCCTTTGTCTCTCTGATCTTTTAGCATTTACACCAGTATCTGGTACCAGGATTTTTTATTAAATGGCCATTTAACATTTGAGCTATAGGAGCTTTATTAGAAATGGAGTTGTATCTAGTGAAAAGATGTTTCAGTCGGCTCAGGGCACTCATGAAACGGTGGTCCCATGGGCTCATGATGGAGCCAAGAGCCTCCTGTCATCTAAGGACTGCATGGCCAGGGACACAGCGCATTACTCTTGTGTTTGGGGTAATATTAGTGTAAACAAGCTACTGCCCTGCAATGTTACGAAAGAGAGCACATGTAATTATGCACCAAACAATGGCTGCTAAGAGATGACTAGGTCACTGGAGTATGTGTTTGTGTATGTGAGTATTTGGCCAATGCAGGGACTGAATCTAGGGCCCTGCACATGGTAAGCAATCACCACTGAGCTACACACCCTTAGGTCCCCTTTTACTTTTATTTTTAAGAGAGAGTATAACTAAGTTGCCATGGCTGGATTTTGAACTTTCAATCTTCATGACTCTGCCTCCATCTCCCTCAAAGCTGGCATTACAGGTATGAACTACCAGGCCCAGTTTATACTATATTTTAATCATTATTTGAAGTGTCCTCCTGCAAACGATAATGAAGAGTTTAGGGCCAGGTGGTGGTGGTGCATACCTTTAATCCAAGCACTTGGGAAGCAGAGGCAGGTGAATCTCTGTGAGTTCAAAGCCAGCCTGGTTTACAGAGCAAGTTCCAGGACAGCCAGGGTGACACAAAGAAACCCTGTCTTGAAAAACAGAACAAAACAAACAAATAAACAAAGATTTTAGGGTTATTTGTGTAGCTCAGTCATGGAATGAATAATTAGTATGCAGGGTCCTGGGCTCAGTGCCCAGGGTCATACACAAAACAAGATTCACATATAAAACAATGTAGTTCCACTGCAGCAGCAGTCCCACCAATGTTCCAGCTAGGTCTGTGTAAGCATGTATCTATGATGCCTACACAACGATGAAACAGCCTAGTGACATTTCCCAGAAAGTTTCTGGGCTATAGAGCAACATGAGAGTGTAGTCAACAGTGCTGAACACTAAGATAGATATTGAAAAGAGGTTCTGATAAAAATGAGAGGGAGCCACGCATGGTGGCGCACGCCTTTAATCCCAGCACTTGGGAAGCAGAGGCAGGCAAAGTCTCTGAGTTTGAGGCCAGCCTGGTCTATAAATCGAGTTCCAGGCTGGCCAGAACCACACATTGAGACCCTATGTCAAAAAAAGAAAAAAAAAAGGGGGGGGGGGCTGGAGAAATGGCTAAGTGGGTAAAAAATGTGCTGTGCAAGACTGGTTTGATTTCTGGAACCCATTACAGGTAAGGGAAAACTGCACCAAGTTGTTCTCTGACCTCCACATGCACCGCGGCAACCCCTATATATCATGCATGCACACATAAATACAAAATAATGAGAGAGGGGTGGGGAGGCCAGGTGCATTGAGGTCTGTAGTCTCAGCTACTGGAGAGACTGAGGCAAGAAGACTACTTGAGCCAAGGAGTTCTAGCCAGCCTGGGTAATAAAGCAAGATCTTCTCTCACAAACAAACACAAAGTGTATCTCACAAACATACACAGTTATTACATGAATTTAGAGACAAACTCGTTACTGAAGCAGCTGTGCCATTTCCTTGCCCATCATACTACATGGGGCTCCGCTCTCACCAGGGCATCGAGCTGGAGCTCCCTGGTACCTGTGTATTCCCTCCTACACACAGTTGTTGCCACGTATCTGCTGTGCAATAATCCTTCTGCACACTGTGAACATGTCTTACTCTCACTGGTTAATAAAAAGCTGACAGGCCGGTAGCTGGGCAGGAAGTTAGGCGAGAAAGCCACCCTGAGAATGATGGGAAGGGGAAGGGCGGAGACGGGAGATGCTATCCAGCCGCGGAGGAAGCAAGACAGAGAAAAGGAGAGGTAACAAGCCACAGGTGGCAAAGCATGGAGAAGAAATATGGGTTAATTTAAATGTAAGAGCTAGCTAGTAATAAGCCTGAGCCATTGCCAAACAATTATAATTAATATAAGCCTCTGAGTGATTATTTGAAAGTGGTTGGGGGATGGGGCTGAACTGAGGAAAGTCTATTTATATGTTCTGTATTCTGTGAACTGTCCATTCAGTAATTAGCACACATAAGCAGCACTAACTGGACTTGGAGTTATTAATAACAATAGAAAAGAGGACATGAAGTCGTGAAGGAGACAGGGCAGGAGTACTAGCACAGACAGAAAGAAGTGGTTAGCAGTAGCTGGACACGCACAAAATGCATCGCATTTTGTTAAAAAACCCTGTTTTTTAAGACAGGGTTTCTCTGTGTAGGCCTGGCTCTCTTGGAACTCACTTTGTAGACCAGGCTGGCCTTGAACTCAGAGATCTGCCAGCCTCTGTCTCCTGAGTGCTGGGATTAAAGATGTATACCACCATTGCCTGGCTCTATGTGTGAGGATTTTATTTTTGTTTTTCCCCCAAGACAGGGTTTCTCTGTGTAGCTTTAGAGCCTGTCCTGGAACTCACTCTGTAGACCAGGCTGGCCTCAAACTCACAGAGATCCACCTGCCCCTGCCTCCTGAGTGCTGGGATTAAGAGTGTGTGCCACCACCACCACCACCGGCTTTTTGTTGTTGTATTTATGGGCTTTTTTCTTTTTCTTTCTTTCTTTCTTTTTTTTTTGTTTTTTTTTTTTGTTTTGTTTTGTTTTGTTTTTCGAGACAAAGTTTCTCTGTGTAGTTTTGGTGCCTGTCCTGGATCTCACTCTGTAGACCAGGCTGGCCTCAGACTCACAGAGATGCGCCTGGTTAAAAGTTTTAATTTTTATGAAATCTGATTTGCTAGTTTTTTGATTAAATGCTGGCAAGAGCTGAGCATGGTTAGTGGTGTGAGGGAGCAAGGGAGGGAGCAGGCCCCCCTGCCCTGTGTGTGCTCTCTGTGCCTAACGTCACTGCAACAGCTGCCACACTGGCTTCCTGCTCCTCCTCTTACCTTCAGGCACAAACAGTGCTCTTTCCAAAATGTAAATGAGGTCTGACTGCTGCCTGGCTCCTCCCCACTTCTATCATTATCCTTCACCAAAAAATTAAAAGCTGCCCCTACTTTGGCACTGGGGTTGAACCTAACCATGCCAGGCCAGTGTTCTACCACTGAGCTGGGCCCTAGGCTAAGATGGTCTCTGTGGCCTTTCTGACCTTAGATTATGTGGGCCTTGGGTGATCAGAGTCTGCCACTCCCCTCCCACTGTAAGCTAAGCCCCATCCTGTACCAACAGTATCAAGGAGTTCTTACACTCCCTTCTGAACGCTGCAGGCATCAGGCATGCACATGATGCACAGATCGATATGCAGACATAAATACTCATACACATAAAGTAGAAATCACCTAAAACATATATGTATGTATGTGTATTTACATGAATTTATATACTCACCTGGGGACCACCATATATGAAGAGCACAGTGGGGTATTTCTTTCCAGGTTGTAGGTCATGAGGCTTATACAACATCCCATACAGTGTAAATCCAGTGGTACTTTCAAAAGAAAAAATTTCTGGAGGGGTATAGTCAGGAAGAGGACCTGTGGGTAGCAACAGAGCCTGTAAAGGAGTTCTCAGAGGCACCCTGCAATCTGAACTCAGAGAAGAAAGCATCAAAACTCAGCTCTCCTCCCCAGCAACTACTACCCCTCTCTCAGGTTATCAGTTTGTAATAAACGAACATTTTAAAATAAAACAAAAGAATATCAAACTGTCTTTTTCAGATTCAGACACACTGAATTTTGAGTAACCTTTGGCACCTAGGAGGTGTTTACATGCAGAACTAAACAAGTATCTAGTGCTAAGTTCAGTCTTCACTTACTGGTGTCAAGGCACACACCTGATCAGCAACAGGCACTCATTTCCGTGAGTTGCAGGTAGAGAAAGAGAATTGTATCTAACTTAGTCAGTGCAGCCTACTCACAGCAGGGGCTCAACACACACTTGTTGCTTTTTTTTTTTTTTTTCCCAGAACTGAGGACCGAACCCAGGGCCTTGAACCCAGGGCCTTGTGCTTGCTAGGCAAGCGCTCTACCACTGAGCTAAATCCCCAGCCCCCACACACTTGTTTCTGATCAAGCCAACCAGAACCTAGAAACAAGAAAGTGATCTCCAGACTCTGGCTCCCCAAAGCTCTATCAAACGGCCCTCAGTGCTGTGCACAGTGCTGTTTCCATCAAGCAGAGATTATTACCATATGACCGGCCCACTGCGCTCCTCAACTTTAAAATATGCACAAACACTTGGGCCTTTACTAGTTTAAGTTTTTTTTAAAAAAATTACTTTTTTTGTTTGTTTGTTTTGTTTTGTTTTTAGACAGGGTCTTGCTATATAGCCCTGGCTGTCCAGGAACTCCATTTGTGGATCAGGTTGGCCTTGAACTCAAAGAGATCCGCCTGCCTCAGTCTCCTGAGAGCTAAGATTAAGATTATTTGTGTGTGTTGCACATGATGTGTGTGTGGTGCAGATGCGTGTTCAGGTTCCTATGCCTGTGCACTTAGGTGAAATCCAAAGAAAGACATCAGGTGTCCTCCTTCATCCATTTCTACCTTATGGCCTGGAAACACTCCCTGCATCAGAAGGTTGCACTTCTGTGAGGCTGATGGGCTAGCAAGCTCCTGGGATCCACCTAGGTCCTCTCCAGTGCTGAGCTGCAGGCACAGCTACACCTGGAGTTTATGGCGCTGATGATCTGAAGAGGACTTCATGGTGGACAGCAAGCACTCCTACCCACTAAGCCGTCTCCCCAACCCCACACTGATGCTTTGATCTCTTAGTCAAGAGCCATGAATGAAAATAAATTTGAAGATAAAGTGAGTTAAAGACATATAAAAAGGTCTATTCCTGACATGTAAGAAATTGCAGGGCTGGAAAGGTGGTTCACTAGGTAAAAGCACTTGCTGCTCTTCCAGAGGACCCGAGGTCAGTTCCCAGCACCCACACCAGGCACCACAACTGCCTGGAACTCCAGCTCCAAGAGAGCCAAAGCCCTCTTCTAGCTTCTATGGCACACTTGTGACACACACACACACACACACACACACACACACACACACACACATAAAAATTTAAAAAGATGGTGATAGGTGATTTCGTCAGTTGTGAAAATGAACCTCTGGGCATGTCTGTGAGGGGTTTTTCAGATTCAGTTAATTTAGGAAGATCCACTCTAAATGAGGATGGTATTTTTTAGGCTGGAGTCCCTAACAGAATAAAAAGGGAAAAGCGAGTTGAATGTGACAGTCACCTTAAGCTCCTGCCACCATGCCTTCGTTTTAGACTGTGAGTTAAAATCAACCTTTCCACAGCTGCTATTCTCAGGTAGTCAGCCATAGCGATGTATAAAGTAACTAACACAGAAAGGAGGGCAGTGGTGGCACATGCCTTTAATCCCAGCACTTGGGAGGCAGAGGCAGGCAGATCTCTGTGAGTTCAAGGCCAGCCTAGGCTACAGAGTGAGTTTCAGGAAAGGCGCAATGTTGCACAGAGTAAACCCCGTCTTGAAAAACCAAAAACCCAAAACCAAAAAAAAAAAAAAAAAAAAAGGTGTGAAAAGTACAGAAAGTAAGGTTTGAAAAGTAGGTCACATGACAGCTCATGCCTGAAATACTAGCACCTAGAGGCCAAGGCAGGAGGATTGTTGAGTTCAAGGCTAGTCTGGTTCACAGTAAAGTCAAGCCTGGGCTACAGAATGAGAGCCTGTCTTTCTCCAGCAGTGTTCTTTGCTCTCACAGGGAGCAAGAGCTGGCTACTATTAAGATGGCTCCTGCAAAGACTCTGAAACTTACAGAAAGCAGCCAACTAGTCATTCTCTAAAGGGTCAATGTCGATGCTCAAAGGGCCTTCCTAAGTTTAGAATACATTATCTTAATCTGCTTTTCCAAAAGGTTTCTAGACATGCTCCTGCTTGGAGGAAAAGAAACCCAGCTCATTCAGCAGTTTACAGACTAGGAAGTGAGGTCTACCTGAAGCCCAGCCGCTCAGGGACAGGGAGGGCTGAGCAATGGGAAGACAGCCCAAGAGACATGGACAGGACATCAGCACAGTGCACTCTGGCACCAATCTTAGTTAAGCCTAGGTTCAGGGGAAAGGAGTACCTGCTGAATCCAAAATGGTGGCCCAAAATTCCTTTGTTTTCCGAACTGGGTCATCTTCAGGACTTGAGAGTTTGTAGAGGGACACGCAGTGTGGATTCTTCTGGTTGCTATACTTACTTATAAAGAAGTCACAATGCTAGAGAAAAGAGAGACAACAACAGCTTTCCACAGGAAGGCCAAGGAAAGCCACCCACGCTCATACACACCAACGCTGGGGCAAGAAGACAGCGGGAGTTTGACAGCTGATGCAAACACACAGTGCTCTGCCTGGACAAGGCTTCTGCTGGCCAGTGTCACCAATTTTCCCGTTACTCAAAGGGAATGTATGTGAACACTTGATGTGAACACGGGGCTCTTCTATGACAGGACCCCCCACGGGGACACAGTACCTGGCTGAGGCGGCAGGAGTGGGAGTAGCCTCGGTCAGTCAGCCTCACCACTTCACCAGGGTTTGCATAACTGGTCACATACAGGTGATGCTCCAAAGGAGAGTCTCTGGTGCCTTCAAAGTACACCAGCTTTCTGACCTCATCAACCCAGATCTGCAAAAGTCAGAGCACAAATCAGTACCTGCATAATGCTTACGAGGCTAGCAAGACACAGACAGCCCCCATTTCATACAGAATCACCCTACTCCTCTGACTTGGGCTTCTTTTGTCTTTACTGTCTTTACTTTGCTACCGATAGTAATGTGACTTGGTTTGGCTTATGGCTGAAAATAGATCTTGTCCAGAAGATAAAAGGCTGAATTATACACGATTGGGAAAATGTCCTGACCAGACTGCATTGTGTACTTCTCTTATAATAAGAGAATTGTTTCCTTCTAGTAAGAATTCCTCAGAGGGAAATACCTACATCGTACCTCATTTGCCCACTGGAAAGAGATTAACTTTATTTCTCTCCATAGCCAGTGCAGTGGTAGCTTAGTTCTTTTTTAGACCTTTCATACAAATTTGCAAAAGTGTTTTATCTATCAGGTTGAGAAAAAACTGGAATCAACCAGCTTCAGCAACAGTGCAGTTTATAAATAAGCAAGGGTAAGATTTATTTTAAGCATTGACATTGGATACAATACAGTGTCCCCAGCCCTAGATAAGATCTTTTAAGTTACTATCTAGAACTGAATTCACTCAATATTCTTGCCAAATTACAGTAATCTAAATAAACAGTTTTCTTTCATTGTTACTTTAAAATATTATACAAGAAACGGTTTTCTTTTATTGTTACTTTAAAATATTATACAAGCCTACTGAAAATGTATTAGAATTCAAAATGTTTTATAGAGATAAAAGATAGATTGTAAAAGTATTATAAATTTCTCTCTCTCTCTCTCTCTCTCTCTCTCTCTCTCTCTCTCTCTCTCTCTCACACACACACACACACACACACACACACACACACCTTTCATTATTAACTTTTTAAAGTAGATTCATCCATTCCTAAATGAAAACAAACATTCAAGAATCCCCACAGGCATGTGTTATCTCTTCAGTCAAGCTGGTTTTACCACAGAAGGAGCAGGGACTCAGGCCTTTCTACACTGTCTTCACCCCCATTGGTAAGGCTTTTTTCTTTGTTTAATGTAAGAACTTATATTCAATAGGATTACACTTTCCAGGGATGCTGAACAGATTGTTGGTTCCTACCACCAGTTTCTGAGGAGGACTGGGTAGAATGGAACCTGAATTTCTAGCATGGTCCCAAGTGATTTGCATGTTCCATCCTTGGTCTGGGACCACACTCTGAGTATCACCCTCAAAACTAAGAGTTATATGAGCTTGAGCCTGAAAGCTTTACTCTGTTGTTGCTGTAGAAGTCTGAGTGGAACAGAGTGACTTGTAAAAGCCAAGGAGAAAAAGGCAATATAAAGATAAAAAGCAAAGCAAAAATGCAGAAAATAGAGGAAGAATTTGAGAGGAACAAACACATCACAAAAATTAGCATGACTCGAAAAACTCATGCCCACGGGGGTGAACAGGAGAGTCATTTAGGTTGCCCAAGTAAGGGTATGTCTGCTCATGCCATTTTGGGGTTTATGTCAGTATCATATGGTACTGACATATGACCTGGTAGCTCTTAACTCCAACCACTACAATTACAAAAAATTTGTTTTGTTTTGTGTCTATGTCTGCCTGCATGTGTGCATGCATGTGTGCCACAGCATGCATGTGGCAAACAGAGGAACACATGAGGAGTCACATCTCTCCTTCTACTGTGTGGGTTCTAGGAATGCAACTCTGGCTGCGGGACTTGGCAGTAAGTGACTTTACCTGCTGAGACATCTCGATGGCTCAGGAAACAACCTGAGCATGATTTTTGTTATTAGAACCTACCATTCCACCATGAGATTTCTTCCCTCAGGTACCAGCAGTAGCATCTACAGAGGTGAAACAGACAGTAACCAGATGGCTATATGAGGCCCTAGTGAACTCAGACTTAAAAGGTTGCCTACAGTAAGACTTCATTTTAATGTGTAATTTTAGAGATTCTAGTCTGCAGTCATTTGGGCCTGTGCTGAGGGAGCACATCATGGTGGGAGTGTCTTACCAACACTAGTCTAAGGATTTTATAAACAAAAAAGTGTGGGACCAGAATCTGTGTGTGTGTGTGTGTGTGTGTGTGTGTGTTCATGTGCATGCTCACATATGTTCAGGTGTGTGTTCACAAGTGCAAGCATGCATGCTCACTGTGTGTGTACATTCAGTTGGAGGTGGGTGTTAGGCAGGCTTGGAGAGCCCATCTGAGGCCTGGGCTTGCACAGCAATCACTTCACCAAACTGAGCCAGCTCCTCAGCTCCTTGATCTTTCTTTCATTGCCTGAACCACCGCAGAGGCCATCATGATTCTAAAGATGTCAGGACAGGTACTACTCCTCTAAGTTTGATGAAAGCACACTCAGGCCACCACTAAATCCTGTGGCGCCTACCTGGAACTCACTTTGTAGACCAGGCTGGCCTCGATCTCACAGAGATCTGCCTGGCTCTGCCTCCCGAGTGCTGGGATTAAAGGCGTGTACCATCACCACCCGGCTGAGGCCTGCCTGCTTTACAGAGTGAAGCTCAAGGCCAACCTGGGCAACACAGCAACAAAGACCCAGTCACAAAATAAAAATTCAAAAGTAGCTGCGATGTGGCTTAACACTAGGGCACTCGCCCAGCACTTCAGGCTGAGGTCAATCCATAGCATTGACCAAAACCTCAGAGTCAAAGGCTTTCATTGAATTGTTACAGAAAGCCACAAGCTCGGAGCAACTCTTCCCCATTAACTGATGCTCAAAATGTTTAAATATGTGAGATAAAATAAAAACAGGTAAACGAAAGAAATTTCTACCTCAAGAATGCTAAATATAATTTCTAATGTAAAAACATGAACAGTCTATCATGCCTAAAAAATAATTTTCAGGTTATATGCTAACTCACAACTTTTAAAAGCCCTAAATATACAAATTATTTCCTTACTAAACGGCAATAATATATTTGAAAATGGTGATCTTGGGGTGGAATGATGGCTCAGTGGTTAAGGGCATTGGTTACTCTTCCATAAGACTTTGGTTTCAATTCTTAGCAGTCACACGGGCTCACAACCATCTATAACTCCAGTTCTAGGGGATCTGACACCCTCTTCTACTTTCCCTGGGCACTAGGCATGCATGTGGTGCACAGACATGCATGCAGGCAAAACACCCATACACACACACACACACACACACACACACACACACACACACACACACTAAAATCATTGAAAATGGCAGTCTTTAGTAACTGGAATGTATCTTATCCTACAGCCATAAAATAGATGAGCTTTATAATTTAAAATAAGATTTTCTAAAAATTTATTTTAATTTTTTAAAGACAGGGTATTAAGATATAGCTCTGGTTGGTCTAAAACTTGTTAGGTAGACCAGGCTGGCCTCAACCTCACAGAGATCCACCTCTCTTGCCTCCCAAGTGCTGGAAGTAAAGGTATTTATCACCACACCCTGATTAAAGTAAGATTCTTCCTTTGTAAGAATTTGTATTCTTCTAGGCCCTAACAATATTGTAAAACACTGGAGTCCTACATACTTATATACATACATATATTGTATTATTCATTTTTTTTCCTGCATTGTGTACACAAAGCAGAGGCTGACCAAACTTATCAATAGAATAAAGAGACATACATTAGATCCATGCCGGCCAAGAACTTCCCATTCACCACTGGTAATTGCTATTTCTTCTTTGATAGGACACTTGAAATCACCTGAAGATGAATACAATCAAAATTCAGTACTTTATTCCAGATAATAAGCAAATGAAACAATGTAGAAAGTTTTCTAAACCTTTTTTTTTTCCCAAAAAACTGAAATAAAACAAAAACAAAAACATCAATGTTAGGTTTGAGGTGATGAAAATGTTTTGGAACTAGATAAAGACAATGGTTGATAATATTGTATTAAATGGTATTGGGTTATTTTAAATGGTTACTAAAAATTACAGCTAAAATATCCAACTAGGTTTGATGACTCACACCTTTAATCCCAGCACTCAGGAGGCAGAGGCAGGTGGATCTCTGTGAGTTTGAGGCTAGCCTGGGCTACAGAGTGAGTTCCAGGACAGCCAGGACTGTTACATAAAGAAACCCTGTCTTAAAAAAACAAACAAAACAAACGAACAAAGAAGAGTTTCACATTATAGCTCTAAAAGAGAGATAAGGAGAAAGAAAAATAATTACAAAATAAAAAAACAAAAACAAACTGATATGGAGCAATTAAAAAAAGAAAAGGGAAAAAATAGGGCCAAGCAGCATTGGCAAACAGGTGCTGACAGGGACAGCCCCCTTCTGAGGCTGCGTTAATGGAGCAGTAACAGATCTAAATACCTTTTTTTTTTTTTTAAAAGATTTATTTATTAGGTATACAGTGTTCTGCCTGCATTCCAGAAGAGGGCGCCAGATCTCATTACAGATGGTTGTGAGCCACCATGTGGGTGCTGGGAATTGAACTCAGAACCTCTGGAAGAACAGCCAGTGCTCTTAACCTCTGAGCCATCTCTCCAGCCCCTAAATACCTTATTGACTGAAGTATTGTCTTAGTTCCTTGCTCTTATCTATGAGTGAACTTACTCCTGAGCAACAAAGGCACTACTAGTATGGCAGTCTAAAGTTCAGGGCTAAGCTACGCTGAAGCTCACGGAAAGAAATTCTGTTTTGGATATATATGACCTCTTTAAAGAAAATGCATAGTCATGATAGTATTTACTTGATTGGTTTCAAGTTGTATCTCACTGCTCTCCAAATCCCAGTACTAAAAGACCATTCAGAAAAACTGAAGAATCCAAAGGACTTGAATAGGTATTTCTCTCAACAAGATATACAAATGGCCAATATGTACATGGAAATTACTTAATATTCCTCATCATTAGGGAACCTGTGTCAAAACATAATGAGATGCCTCTTCAAGCTGGGCTTGGTGGCACACGTGTGATGTCAGCTACTCAGTCATCTCCTCATCCCATTTCAAAATAAAACCCAAAAATCGCTAGGGATGTAACTCAGTGACAGTCTTAGGTTCAACCTCTAAAACTATATGTATGAGTTCAACAAAGAAAGAACACAAATGGAAGATACCTCTTTACATCTATTAGGGTGGCTATTAAAAAAATAAACGCACAGTTGGGCATAGTGACACACACCTTTAATCCCAGCACTTGGAAGGCAGAGGCAGGCAGGTCTCTGTAAGTGCAAGGCAAGCCTGGTCTACATAGTGATTTCTAGGACAGCCAGATCTGTGAGACCCTGTCTTTAGAAAACCAAGGAAAATAAATAAATTTACAAGAAATCAGAGCAAGAAAACAGAAACTAACAAGTACCATCAAGGATATAAAAAACTAAAACTTGAGCTGGGTGTGGTGGTACATACCTGTAATCTCAGCACATGGGGACTGAGACAGGACTGTGGAAAATTACAAGGAAGCCTGCACTACAGAGAGAAACCCTGTCTTTAAAAAAACAAAAACAAGCCGGACGGTGGTGGGCACGCCTTTAATTCCAGCATTTGGGAGGCAGAGGCAGGCGGTTGAGTTCAAGGCCAACATGGACTACCAAGTGAGTTCCAGGAAAGGTGCAAAGCTACACAGAGAAATCCTGTCTCAAAAAACAAACAAACAAACAAACAAAACAAAAAACAAACCCCAGAAAACCATCCAGGGGCTGGAGAGACGGCTCAGCAGTTAAGAACACTTGTTCTTGCAGAGGAACCAGGTTTGGTTTCCAGAACCTACATGGTGGCTCATAACCCTCTGTAACTCCAGTTCTGGATATCTAAACCCCTCTTCTGACTTCTACAGACACCAGGTAGGCATGTGGTACACAGGCGTACATGCAGGCAAAACATTCATACATATAGAAATAAAATAAATAAACCTATCCCCCAAATACAAATGAATAAACAAACAAAACCAGAAAGAAATGAAAACCCTTGCATATTACTATTAGGAATATAAAAAACTGTAGCCCTTCCTACTGGTTTGCAAAGGATGAAAAATTAAATAGAATACATGAGTCATGCATTGCACTTCTGGTAGCTATATACCTAAAAATCAAGAGAGGAACACACATAGTCACAGTAGTGTCATTCCACCAAAAGAATGGAAGCAACGCAGGTATTCATCAAGAAACACTGTATAGGGGCTGGAGAGATGGCTCAGTGGTTAAGAGAACTGGCTGCTCTTCCAGAGATCATGAGTTCAAGTCCCAGCAACTACATGGAGGCTCATAACCATCTATAGTGAGATTTGATGCCCTCTTCTGGCATAAATGGAATATAGTCTTAGATTTATTTTTATTGAATGTGTATGTGTGAATGCCTGCTTATATGTATCCACATGCATGTCTCATGTCCCTGGAAGAAAGAAAGAACTTCTGGAGCTGGAAGTTAGGGGTGGTTGTGAGCTGTCATGTGGGTGCTGTAAACAGAAATTGGGCTCTCCACAAGAGCAGCAAGTGCTCTTAACCACTGAGCTATCTCTCTAGCACCCATATATAAACAATATTTTGCAAAGTTTTTAAAACCGAGTGTGGTGGTACAAGCTTTCAATCCTACCACTTGGGAGGCAAAGGCAGGCAGATCTCTGTGAATCTAAGGACAGCTTTGTTTGCATAATGAGTTCTAGGTCAGCCAGAGCGATAGTGAGATGTCTCCTCCCCCGCCCCCCCCCCAAAAAAAAGCCGTCAGCAGTGGCGCACGCCTTTAATCCTAGCACTCGGAAGGCAAGAGCCAGGCGGATCTCTGTGAGTTCGAGGCCAGCCTGGTCTATAGAGCGAGATCTGGGACAGGCACCAAAAACTACACAGAGAAACCCTGTCCAAAAAAAAAAAAGTTATTTAAATATAAAAATAATGCTGGCTCATGTGCTGATGAAGTGAGCACATGTGGACTCATTTTAAATAAATTAAAAATTGTAATCAAGGCAAAAGTGCCATAAAAATAGGTATTCTAATCACTCAGAGATTATCCACTTATTATAATTATTAATAACTTATGTATTCATTGAAAATTTGCTCTGCTTTCCACATGCATAGACTTGTATTTCAGTTAATATATTCATTAAGTTTACTGAGGCAAGTCCTGGTGTTAAATAATATAACAAAGACAATATGGCTGCGAGATGGCTCAGTGGGCAAAGGTCCCTGACGTCAGGTCTGATGCTCTGAGTTTGATTCCTGGAACTCACACAGTGGAAGGACAGAAGAGAGTCCCACAAGCTATCCTCTACTTGCACATGCTTGCTCTGACATGAATTATGCAAAACAAATAAAATATAAAAAGATTAACTATATAAATAAGTACGACTTCTTACTTGGAGCAGGCAGTCCACCGCTGGATCTTTTATATTTGCTCTCCTTTAAAATGGTTACAATTTTATATAGATGACGGAAACCTGTTTTGCATTCAGAGGCAAAAATAAACTCTATTTCATCTTCATGAGTTTGAGGAAAAACATGAAAGATATCGTGGATCTGCAAAATGAACAGCTTAGTTTATTATATGCATTAATAAATAGAGGTAACCAAATGAGAGAAGAAAGGATTACTTGAAATATAGACAGTGGTTAGTGCTTGCGATATGGGACACTTACAATAATAGGTTTTGTCTGGGCCTTTTACATTTATTTTACTTTAGACAAAGATTTCACACACTGAGAAGTAAACGTTTCCTAATGAAAGAAAGCAAAAAAAAAAAAAACAACTTGGCCAAGGCTGCTGCTTCCCAGCTCTGGAATCTCTGAAGCACATAAAGCTGATGCAATGGTATAAATCTTATACACAAGCCAGGGGGAACAACATGCTTTACTTTGTTTTCCAAAGAGAAGTATTCTAACAGCTGAAGGAAAACAGATGTTCATCTGTTTCGGGTGAATCATGGGAAGCCTACTTTCAACTACAGAGACAGAGAAACATTTTTATTTTATATCTAATTTTTATGCTAAATGGAAAATACAAAACTCATTTAAAAACTAGTATATTTGATATAGTTTGGTAACTTAAAAGGGAGCTTCTAGACACAACTCTTGAAAGCCCTCTTGGAAGCACAGAGGTTGGAGCTGAGGCTGTGGGCTCTCTATCCCGTGTGTGCACGGCCGATCCGCAGTTACCAGTGGGCTGTCACTTCAGTGCTATCCACTTTCTGCTATAAACCACTCCATTCTGGAGCCACCATTCAACTCGAAATACTCACAGTTCCTTTGAATTTAAAGATACATTTTGTTATGCTGCTATAGAACTTCATCCGTGGTGATATACTGTGTATCAAATACAGCTTGCCTGAGGATCAGAGGACAGAGCCAGCCACTAGATTAGACATAGAGGTCAGGCAGTGGTGGCACACACCTTTAATCCTAGTATTCGGGAGGCAGAAATCCGTCTGGATCTCTGTGAGTTCAAAGCCACCCTGGATTACATGAGATTGATTCAGTCTAGGAGAGAAACAGCCAGGTAGTGGTGGCACAGACCTTTAGTCCTAGTACTTGGGTGTCCCACACCTTTAATCCCAGTACTAGGAAGGCTGAGATAGGAAATGATATGGCTGGGTGGAGCAAGGTATATAAGGCGGGAGGAGACAGGAGCTCTGAGGACTTTTCAGGCTGAGGGGTCCTAGAGGTAAGATGTGGCAGTGGCTTGTTCCTTTGTCTCTCTGATCTTTCAGCATTTACCCTAATATCTGGTCCTGGGTTGTTTTTTTTTAAATTGTAAGACCATTTAAAATTCATGTTACATTCATCTGCCTGAGTATCCTGAGAAAATACAAGTTCAAGAAACAGAAATGCATACATTTATCCAGATGTCTGTTGTCTCTTCATAGATGATCAGTGGTGTCACAGAGTCAGGCACTGACTCTATGAGTCTCTGTCTGTCCATGGCATCGTCTTCTACTGGGATGAATAACTCGGGAGAGATCAGAGCTATCTGCAGGTGAGTCTGGGAACGATCTAGTAGGATGGACCAGGCGCTGTGCAGGGAATGAGGAGAGATCAGGAATGAAGCAAGCTCCTGGAAAATGAATAACCATTTGTTCTCTCCCTTGGTACCTATCAATTTTATTTTATATGTTTATTTTAGTTTTTCTAGACAGGGTTACTCTGTGTAGCCTTGGCTGTCCTAGAACTCGCTCTGTAGATCAGGCTGGCCTCAAATTCAGAGAACCACCTGTTTCTGCCTCCCAAGTGCTGGGATTAAAGGTGTGTGCCACCACCGCCTGTCTTATTTTTCTTTTTAAAGACAGTGTTTCACTATGTGTCCCTGGGCTGGCCTAGAACTCACCCTGGAGATCAGGCTGATTTGAACTCACAGAGATCTGTCTGCCTCTGCTTGCTGAGAGCTAGGATTAAAGGTGTGAGACACCACACCCAACAATTATTCCTATAACCAAAATAAAATACCCTTATGTTTATGGGACTGCAAATCTGAATGTTCACAGAGTTCGGAGAAAATGCCTGAGTGGACATAACAGGGAGCTGATTTACTTGGAAAGCCAAGCCTGCAGCACAGACACTCTAAAGCTCTGGGCCCTAAATTAGTTGGAAGAAGGTGACAATTTAACATACGCACTATTTTCCCTCTGGAGTCCATCCAGCTCTGGCAATATATTCGACTCCTTCAAACAGAATCTCAAAAGGTTGAACCAGCTCTTTATCTATGACATCTATAATCTAGTAAAGAGAAAAGGGAATAGTTATAGAAGACAGAAAATAACATGCTCACTAGTTTACATCTTTTCAGACATGGGTACAAGGGTAGAAGTCAGGCCAGCAGTCAGTCAGGGGTTTCCTGTGTTGCTGCTTTCTACACCCACAGGAAATGTAAATCAACCATAATGTACTACAGCTTCTACATGGATGACTGTGACAAACACGGACAACAGCAAGTGTTAGGACGATGTGGAGAAACTGGAAACCTCATACACTGCTGGTGGGAATATAATTTTCAAAGCAGCCTGGCAGTACCACAAAAGATTAAATAGAGCATTGTCCCATGACCCCACCATTGTCCCAGGTGTGCCCCAGAGAAACAAAACCATAAACCCTGGCACACCCTTGCACACATATTCCTAGCAGTCTCTCTCCAACCCCTCCTTTTTGCTCTCTCTCAAAAGACACAGTCCCACTATAAAGTCCAAGCTGGCCTCAAATTTGTGATGCTCCTGCCTCAGCCTCCTGCATATAAACAGTGCTGGGACAGCAGGCACGTGTCACTGTCTGGCTTCATGACAGCTTTCCTTTTTTGGGGGGTTTGTTTTGTTTTAGAAACAGGGTTTCTCTGTGTAACAGCTCTGGCTGTCCTGAAACTTGCTCTGTAGACCAGGCTGGCCTCAAACTCACAGAGATCCGCCTGTGTCTGCCTCCCGAGTGCTGAGAGTAAAGGCGTGCCCCACCACACCTGGCTTTGACAGCTTTCCTTTTAAGAGCAAAAAAGAAAAAAAGGTAACAACCCAAATACCCATCAACTGATGAGTAGGTAAATAAAATATGGTATACCACACAAAGAAATAATACTCAGCAATAAAAAGAAATACAGGAGGCTGGGGAGATGGCTCAGTTGGTGCAGTACTTGCCTGACGGGCATGAAGACCTGAGTTTGGCTCTCCAGTACCCACGTAACTGCAGGCACAGCAGCACTGTGCTGTTTCAGCACTGGGCAGGCAGAAACAGGAGCCTGTAGCCTGCTGGCTGGCCAGCCAGTCTACCAATCAGTGAGTTCCAGGTGCAGTGAGAGACCATTCAAAAAATAAAATGGAGGCTGGACAGATGGCTCAGTTAATAAGAGCACTGGCTGCTCTTCCAGAGGATCCAGGTTCAATCCCCAGCACCCATGTGCACTCATCACTGTAGCTCCAGGGTATCCAATGCCCTTTTCTAGGCATCAGGCACACATGTGTACACAGACAAACACACAAGCAAAATACCCACACACGAAAGTCAAGTGGAGACTGATCAAGGAACACTTGACACTGACCTTTGGCTCCATGCATATGCATTTACTGTCCCCACCCCAGCGCATACACAAAAAGAACAAGAAATGAAGTGCAGAGGCTGGAGATACAGCTCAGGAGTAGAATGGTAGCAAGATTGAGTTAGCTCTCTCTGTAACACACTAACACACACACGCACGCACGCACGCACGCACGCACGCACGCACGCACGCACGCACATATGCAAATAGATGGACCTTGAAAACATTAAACAAAGAAGCCAGACAACATATTGTATGATTTCATTCATACAAACGCCCCAAACAGGCAAGTCTGAAGTGGTTGCTTAGAACTAAGGGATTATAGATAAGGGGCAAGGTGTTTCTCTTTGAAGTAATGATAATGCTCTAAAATGGACTTGGGTGGCCTGAATCTGTGGTTACATGAAGTCACTGAATTTTAAGCTTTTTTTTTTTTTTGGAGCTGAGGATCGAACCCAGGGCCTTGTGCTTGCTAGGCAAGCGCTCTACCACTGAGCTAAATCCCCAACCCCGAATTTTAAGCTTTAATGAATGAACTGTATTGTATGTAAATGATATCTCAGTAAAGCAATGTTTTTAAAAAAGTCTAAAACTGGGCATAGTGGCATATACCTTTAATCCCAGCTGTTCACTTGGGAGGCAGAGGTAGGCTGATCTCTGTGAGTTCAAGGCCAGCCTGGACTACAGAGTGAGTTCCAGGACAGCCAGGGCTACATAGAGAAACCCTGTCTCAAAAAACCAAGACCCTCCCCTCCTCAAAAAAAAAGATTTATTTTTAGGCATGTGTATGTGTGTATCTATATGTGGGTATGTGCACATGAATGCAGGTACCCATAGGAATCAGAAGAGGACATCAGATCATCTGGAGATGGGGTTATAGATAATAGCAAGCCTCCTGACCTGGGTGCCCAGAATGGAATTTGGGTCTTCCACAAGTACAGTATATGCTCTTAACTGCTGAGCCATCTCTCCAGCTCCTGCCCCCAACATCTGCATTTTAACTAATCTTGTGAGCATGTCCAAACAGAAAGCAGCAGTACAGGAGAAATATGGGTTATTCAATCCACCACAGATGTGGTGTACACCCAACACAGAAGGTAAACCACTGTTTTATATTGACTGAATAATTAATCAAGACAAAGAGCAAAAACTATTTGCAAGGAGTGAAAATATGTTTGTGTGGTGCATGCATGTGTGTAGAGGCCAGATGACTTATGTTTCTCCTCAGAATTTTTTTTTGAGACACAGTCTCTCATTGGTTTGGAGTTCAATAAGCAGGCTAAGCTGTCTGGCTGGAGAGCCCCAGGGATCTGTCTGTCTCCATTGCTCGGTGCTGGGATTACAAGTACATACTACAACGGCCAGCTTTTTTTATATGGGTTCTGGGAATTTAACACAGGTTCTTATATATCCCTCCCCACAGGCCTAATATGAGTGCTTTGAAGGAAGAAAATTAGGTCAACCTATAAATCATGAACCACAAATGTCTCAGCAAGTTCAACAAGTTAACCAATAAAAATGTGCACCAAAGAGCCTCCTAGACCGGCTAACCAGGACAGTGTTCAGCGCCTCACACTTACCCCCCCTTCAGCATCAACAAGTATCTCTGACATCTTGAAAGTGACCTTTGGGTTTGCTGTGCCTTTAGAAAGAAACATAAATGAACAATAATGTCTAGAGTTACTCCAATAACTTCTTCAGATCAGTGTCCTTCAGATTTTAGTTGTTAGGAATATTGTATATAGCCAGGGCTTTACTGTGCAAGTTAGAAGCTATCTCAAATTCATATGAGCAGCAAACATGAAAGAGGCTAAAACTAGAAAGAGTCAGTATGAAAACAAAGAGAAGCTGCCAACTATTTCTGTAATTGAAATGTTGCAAACAGCAAAATGGACAAACAAAACAAAACAAATCAAAAAAATCCCACCTACTTATTAAGAACAAAACCACTTAAAAGTCTTTGACAGGAAGGGATACCTTCTTGCTGATTTCCTAGTATTGTAGGCAAACCCACCTCCAAAAACAATTAAATGTTCAAAAGCTATACTTAATGAACAAACAATGTTTACAAAGGCTGCTCATGATCAAACCGACTATACATCTGAACGACTGCAGATTTTGTTTCTGTTTTTGAGACAAGATCTCATCTGGAACCCCAGCTGGCCTGGAACACCTAACAACCCTCCGACTGCCACAGGCTTCCAAGAACTGGGACTACAAGCATGAGCCACCACACCTAGAGGAGGAAACGAACAAATAATAACAGTGGAATACAGTACCTGTTTTAGGGTAACGGAAGGAATCTGCCCTTCTTGTTTCCAACATGGGGGATGTAACATGAATAATTTCCACCTCAGATTCATCATTTTCTTCATAGAGAATTCTAAGAATTTTACCACCACTAGGAGCTTAAAAGGAATTTAGGTATTGGACATTTAGAATAATTATTACAGAATACTCAACATTCACTATTTCCTCTAAAACTAGTTTTTGTTTTTTTTTTTTTTTACTAAAGGAAATAATTTATGCATAAGATAGACTACTATTAAGAATTAGTGGTGATAGTGATTGAATTCAGGTCCTTGAACACGATAGGCTAGTACTCTTCCACTGGGCTGTACTCCCAGGCTGTGCTGCCCTCAAAACAATTTTTAACAACATTTATTTACTCACTCTGTGTGTGTGTGTGTGTGTGTGTGTGTGTGTGTGTGTGTGTGTTTGAGTATGTGTATACAGGCCTTATTAATAGTTTATAGATAAAAGTCTGAAGAATTTTTTTTTTTTTTAGTTTTTCAAGACGGAATACTTTTTTAATGGAACATAAAAAATATTATTTAAAAGTCATATCTGAGATTTGGACATTTTATTTTAAAATATAAATTTTTGCCATAGTTATACAGAACAAGATTGTGATATAAATCATTCAACACAATGAAATCCCTTAGCATCTTCTAGAAAATGTTATAAATTTAATTCAATAGTTCCTTCCTAAGGTGGGCTACATGTGCAAGTCAGAGGCCAAGTCTTCACAGTCAGTTCCCCCTCTGCACCATGTGGGCCCCAGGTCACTGAGTGGCAGCAGCGCCTTTACCTGCTGAGCCAGCTTGCTGGACCCTGTGCCACCTCTTACACATGAAAACTTGCTCATCTTTACAACTGCAGGATGACTCCCAAGTCCCTTTCACTAGGACTTAAAGGTTACCCATTGGGAGGGGAAAATATGTGCGTGTGTTTAAATATATACATATTTATATTCCTACATACAAGAGAAACACTGAAGAATTTTGACATAATAAAACATAATTATTTCCTACAAAATGCTAAGAGTTTAGTTGTACTGAATGGTTTATGTCAAAATCTTCTTCTGTATAATTACGGGAAAATGTCTACATTTTAAAATAAAGTCCAAATCTAAGACATGGATTAAAATACATATTTTCCATTGTCCTCTAAAGAAATGTTCAGATGCAGGGTGGTGGTGGCGCACGCCTTTAATCCCAGCACTTGGGAGGCAGAGGCAGGTGGATCTCTGCGAGTTCGAGGCCAGCCTGGTCTACAGAGCAAGTTCCAGGGCAGCCAGGGCTACACAGAGAAATCATATCTTGAAAAACCAAAAAAAAATGTTCAGCCTGCTAGCTGTATTATAAACCAATAGTGATGTCATAAGACCTATTAATGGGTCCTAACCAGCACTTAAGAACACCTGCTGCTCTTCTAGAGGGCCTAGCTGGGCGCCTAGCACCCATATAGCAGCTCACAACCAACTGTAACTCCACGTCTTCAGATCTGATACCTTCTGGCCATTGCAGGCCCAGGCACACACGTGGTATATACCTGCAGGCAAACATCCACACACACAAAATTAAGAGTAAATAAATCTTAAAGGATAAAAAAGGAAAGAAAGTATTAAAGTACATAACACCTAAGAAATACTGCTTCATAATTTTTTTCCAGTTTTGTCTATAAAATATATGTATACTTTATATTAGGCCACACAATTGTAAGCAAATTTCTCACTGGACTGAGGTTAGACTAGAGTGTGGGCCACTGCTTTAAGTTACTCATTTGCACATACTCATCTGTTCATGCAGCTGCTACTCAATCACATATGTTTTTTTAAAAGATTATTTATTAAGTACACAGTGTTGTGCCTGCATGTGTGCCTGCACTCCAGAAGAGGGCACCAGATCTCATTACAGATGGTTGTGAGCCACCATGTGGTTGCTGGGGCTTGAACTCAGGACCTCTGGAAGAATAGCCAGTGCTCTTAACCTCTGAGCCATCTCTCCAGCCCCTATCAATCACATATGTTTAAAAGCAAGTCATGAGTGTGGATCTTGTCATAATGCTGCTTTCCAGCTGAAAAACTGGCGAGCAGCACCTGAGCTACTGAGGCAGACTGGAACTGTCTCCACTAGAATCCAAGTGGGGGACAAGGCCTATATTTTCTGAATGGCTACAAGTGCAGCCTAATCTTCCTCACTTTTCATCTACTGTCCCAGCTTTACGCTCTGTACACTCAGCCAATCGACAGTCCAAACCTTTAATACTTAGAGTAACCTGTAACATACTACTTTGAACTTGCTTACTTCTCTCAGCTTGTGGACACCACCAGTAGCCAGAATATCTATCAAATTCTTCTTGAAGAACAAAGGTAGCAACTCCAGCTGATCTGGGATCCTCTTCCATGTTGGCTAGCTCTGAACAAACAAAAAAGGCAAAATTATCCCCCAAACTCTTTTTTTTAATTTAATTTTTTTTTTTTTTTTTTTTTTTTTTTTTTTTTTTTTTTTTTTTTTTTTTTTTTTTTATAATAGGACAAAGCAAAATGATTCTGTCACTCCTAAAGAAAGGTAGCTGATTATAGTGGTCAACTGTGGAGCCAAACAGATTGAATTCTAATTTGGGCCTCACCATTTACCTATTGTATGACCTTGGGCAAATAATCGCACTCTATTGTGGCATGTCAATGGTAGAGCTTGGTATATGCTTGGCTTTTGTACCCTTAGCACCAATAACCACCTAAACAAATCACAAAGTCATTATTATGTAAGATTTTTGTATCATGGCAAAAAGTTTACAGTGTAATTTGAATGTGGCTTGTTTTTGAAAATCATCAATGCTTTGACACTTGCCAGTACTTAGTCCTGTTTGCTAAGTAATAGTCCATTGATAATATGGATTTTTTGTTTTGGGGGTGTTGTTTTTTTTTAAGACAGTGGGGTGGTTTGAGTAAAAATGATCCCCACAGGCTCATATGTTTGAATGCTTGGTCCCCAGTTAGTGGAACTGTCTGGAAGGATTAGGGGGTGTGGTCTTATTGGAGAAGGAGTGTCACTGGGGTTGGGCATTAAGGTTTCAAAAGCCCATCCCAGGCCCAGTCTCTCTGCCTGCCTGCCCCACACTCCCTGCCATGTTAACCATGGACTAACCCTCTGTAACTACAAGCAAGTTCCTAAATTAAGTGCTTCCTTTTCTAAGTTGCCTTGGTCATGGTGTGTTGGAGCCCGTTCTGGGGTTCCTTGTGGCTTTACCCAGCAGGTCTGAATAGAGGATGATCAG